GTCAGACAAAAACAGACTTTTCCACAAAACACTTTCAAACAGCACACGCACACACTCCCTCGCTACTCACCGGTGTAGTCTTCGCGGCAGATACAGGTGTACCCTCCCTCTCTGCGGGCACACACCCCTCCGTTCAGACAGGGGTTGGAGTAGCACAGGTTGATCTCTGTCTCACAGTAATCACCCGTGAATCCCACTGGGCAGCGGCAGCGTAGTCCTGCGATGGGGTGGATAGGCCGGAACAAGATGGAGGGTGAGGAGATGAAGGGGGCAGAGCTGTTGAAACGCAGCACTGAGATGCACTTCATGTAGTTCTGGCAAGGCTCCCGCAAGCACACGTTGTCATCAAACGGGAGGACCTGGAGCAATAGAAGAGGAAACATATACAGTGTAGTGTGAGGAATATTCTCAATTTAGACTTTCAGGCGTCCTCACTCAGGGCTTCTTATATTACTCATAATAAAGTTACTTTTTAATATTTATAAGCGGTGAAATCGTTCTTGTTTTTGTGTTCCAGTGATCTATTTCAGCAATGGTGGAAAAAGTAAAAGCAAAGTAAAAGCATCACTATAACAATCCAACTAAACTAAAAGTACATTAAATATTATCAACACCTAGTACTGAAGTTAATTAAGCAAAAATCTCCCTGATGATTATTAAAGTTTTTAAAAAGTATCATTTTTAACAATGACATAAGGATACAGTTTAATGAATTTGTAACATGTTATGATGAAGTGAAGAAAGATGCCAAAACAGTTTCTTATACTTAATTTGTATCATTTGGGCAAATGGAAATACATAAATTGAAAAAACAATATAAAAACAAATTAAGCAACCATCAGTATCTGCTACTGGTTGAATTTGTATTTTAAAAACCTTTACTGGTAGAAATAATAACATGAAAGAAAAAAAAAGTATGTTTTTTCTTTTAGGAGAAGTTAAACATGCTAGCATGCTAATGTTTTGAATGCTAGCATGCTAGCTAATACACTAAAACATGCTCATGGCTATATAAACATGATACTGTAAGGCACTGTCACAGTCATACTGGTAGGAGCATCAAAAAAACAAAAATGCTACACAGCCTTTTAAAGTTTATTTACTATATTATACTTACTGTCAAACTGGCACATAAATCAAAACAGTAAATGTGCAGGCAGGTAAGGTAAACCCGCCTTCTTCTGAATTCTGCTATGATGTATAGGCTGGTTATAAAAGTCTATACCTGTAGTTTGGGGAAGGAGTTTCTCACTGACTGACTTGTTAGGTGGCTTCACACTTCTGACTGGTGAAAGTTATCATTTGATTGCTACAAAATGGTAATCTTCAATAATGTTAGACATACATATTTAAAATGGGAATGCCTTTATTTATTCCATTTTAAACAATGTAATTTTATTATCACATTGGAGTTTTCTTGGTTCTTTGTACTTAAAATATTCATATTACCTTCATTTACCTGATACTAGCAGTCTTAACCTTCTCCACAGGTCAACCCCCCCAGCTATCAGTCATTTAGCATGCTGCCTTGGACACAGTGACAACAGTGGGCTGTGTGTCTTTGCATAACCAGTCACTTTCCCAAATTGTATATTTACAGCTTTTGCTTGCTGTTAAGGCCAGTGGACCAGATATATTCACTAGATTGTGTCTTCTTAAGAGCTGAGATCCTGTTTGCATGTGTGGTTGTGTGACAGTGCCTGTTAAGATAAGGTCAAAGGCACTCACCACTGGTGTCTCTCTCACCCCTTTATAAATATTTCCTTCTGGATTCACCTTCTTCCTTCTGCTTCTATCTATCTCTCTCTTACCGCGAGATTCCCTTGGGTTGTGTAAACATTACATAACTGATGTGCTTGTCCAGGTGTTCCTGATTTCATGCATGAGAACATTTAATGGTCATATTTGCCCGTTGTTCTGTAAAGTCACATGGCTGATGTGCCACAGGAAGCTGTATTGTGTTATTACTAGTTCACATCCAACAAGCTCAGATGTATACTCACAGGCCACTTTATTAGTTACACATTGCTAGTACTTTTTGCCATCAGAGCTGTCTTCTTCATTGCATTGACTCAACAAAGTGCTGGAAACATTCCTCAGAGATATTGCTCCGTATTGACATGACAGCATCACACAGTTCCTGCAGCAATGCCAGCTGCACATCCATGAAGTGAATGTGGAGGCTATTTGAGTTCAGTGAACTCACTGTCGTGTTCAAGAAACCAGTTTGAGATGATGTGAGCTTTATGACAATCAACATTATCTTGCTAGAAACAGCCATCAGAGGAAGAGCACACCGTGGTCATAAAGGGATGGATATGGTCAGTAAGCCTCAGACGAGGCCTTTAAATGATGCTGGGTTGGTACAGAGTGTGCCAAGGAAAAAAAACACTATCACCAGCAGCCTGAACCCCTGATGAAAGGCAGGATGAAAACACGTTTTGATTATGTTTACATCAAATATTTCAACAGAAATTGGGACTCGTCAGACCAGACAACAATTTTTTCAGTCTTCTAATGCCCACTTTTGGTGAGCCCATGTAAACTATAGCCTCAATTTCTTGCTCTTAGCTGAGAGGAGTAGCACCCAGGGTGTTATTCTGCTGCTGTAGCCCATCTGCTTCAAGGTTTGATGAGATGCTCTTCTGCATACCTTGGTTTCAACAAGTGATTATTTGAGTTGACAGTTGCCCTGTTGTCTTGTGAGCGGTGACATCAACAAGGCATTTTTCACCCACACAAATGGCACTCACTGGAAATTTTCTCTTTTTCAGACCATTCTTTATAAACTCTAGTGTAGGAAAATCCCAGGAGATCAGCGTGTAAAACACTCAGACCAGCCTATTTGGCACAAACAACAATGCCACATTCAAAAGTCACTAAAATCTTCTTTCTTTCTCATTCAGACGCTTGATTTGAACTTTGACAGGTCGGGTTCACCATGTCTGCATGCGTAAATTCATTAAGTTGCTGCCATGTGTTTGGCTGAATCAATATTTCCATTAATGTGCAGTTAAACAGGTGTAGCTAATGAATATTTCTCTGTTACATAGGCTTACTGTCATTCTTTTTAATAAAATGAATTAATAACTCAATACATTTTAAAATAAATAATTTCAAGAAATATTAAATGTTATACCTCATAAATGATTAATATTTATTAACTAGCTTCCTATAATTTCATGCAGTGCATGTGCAGCCTGAAAGAGTGTAAGGCTATTTTTAAAGGCGATTATTAAAGGTACATTCATTAATCTCAAAGAATATTCTTGTTTTCAATACAGCAAAAAGACCATGCTTTGAACCAGAGAAACACCATATGAGAGAGTTAAATGGTATTTATATGCTTGCCAACATTTTTGCCTTTGTGATGTGATGAAGGAGTTAAAGTCAGACACTCAGAGGTGTGATTCCTCTGTGTGTGTCTTTTTGCACATGGACTAACCTCCATCTGTGTCAGTGACGTCAGCCTCGGCCTGTTCAGGTACAGCTGCTCCTCCAGGGCCTCAGAGGGAAAGAAATGTCCGCCCGGCAACGCGGCAGAGAAGCTAACATTCAGGATTCCTCCAGGTGCCGCATCCAGATCCGGCTGAATGTTGAAGATGAAAACATCCTCAACAGGAACTGAGAGAACAGCGGACACACCTTCCAAGAAGGTTCCCAGCAGTGGTGACAGGAAGTGCTCCTGGGACATGTTCTGAAGGCGGACAGTGACACTGCTGCCCAACATGTCCTCTGTGATAATGAGGACGCGGAGAACACACTGAGCCGAAATGCTGTGGACGCCATCTGAAGAGTTGAAGAAGATAGCAGAGGGCAGCCAGTTAGGTGAACGGATAGAAGAGGAACTTATGCAGGTTATAAGGAAAGAGAAAGCGAGAGAGAAAGTCAGAGTGGCACAGTCAGTGACCAGGATGTGGACGGGGCACAGAGTGAAAGAAGAAACTTTGAGAGGAAGCTTCAGAGGAAGAGGTGAGGAATGACAGAGATGACAGAAGAGCAGAGATATTCACCAATGCAAAGATAAAACAGGAAGTAGTCACAACCGTGTTAACGTAATGTAATTAATGTAATTTTATGTTACTTAAATTGATTAAGAGTGGGAGAGAAAGTCACAGGTAACTGAAACTACCAGTGCTTCTGTGTCGATGATACCACAGAAACTACGTTTTCTATCACTGGACTGGGACTGAAGCTCATTGGCTGATCTTGATAAAAGATGGAGTTCATTTTAGTTTTATATTCATGTAACAAAAGTGGTGTTTACAATCCATTCACACCAAAGGTTACCATGAGGTGCTGGTCACTAGAAGTAGATTTGACAACATATAAAATAGATAAAATATTCTAGCTGTATGACAGTACGGTCTGAGGGAAGCAAAAACAGCTCATGCAAAAACATAAATAATCCTTATTTGCCTTAAAATATATTGGAATTGTGACATTAGAACTCATATAAGAAGGAGGAAGCTTTGATATCTTAATGTCTAAGCAGGAACATTATCTGATCCACTGGATTCATTGAATTTTTTAGATACAACTCTTTATAATATCGTTTACAGTTCATCTTTAACTGTATCTTTTTCTTTACATATTTACAATTTAATTAAAATTAACCTAATTTCTAATATTTTAATGACATTTAACCTAAAATAAAAATAAAAATTGAAGTCTTACTATGAGATAATTACATTATTTACACTTTCTTTTACATTTGCGGTTCACTGAAAGTTTCTCACACAGATATCTAACAGATAAATTACTACTGTAGGACATATTATACAGTATTATAATAGTATTATATATGATTGTCTAGTTACAAGAAAATGAGTTTATGGAGCCTGAATATAGCAGTCTGCTTTGACACCACCTAAGTTATTGTAATAAATATTATATACTTTTTTTTTTATCCATAACAAAATTTCAACAAATAAATATGCAAAGATGGAAAGGTGAGGGCAGCAGCATGAGGACCCCAGGGGAAAAACAAAAAGGTAGGCATCTGTGACAACCGATATGACACTGATTAAGTCAGTTATAGCATTAAAGGAGCTGGAGCGAGTAGCAGAGGCAACAGCGACTGCAGGGAAGCTTAAGCAACTTAAATTAGTGAGCCCCATGGAAAAACAGGAAGTACCGCTGATATAGGCTGGCCTGGCAGTCAGATCGGCTGTTATTAGGTGATTTGTGGTCTGCTTGAATGTCTAGGTAAGCACTGGAGGAAACAACTGGATTACATGTACTGGGAATGGTAAAATATGACTGACTTATGGTGGTGCTACTGGTTAGAAATACAAAGCACAGAAGCCTCACACTGTGTTTTTTAGAGTATTAAAATCCTTGGTTTAGCTGGTCTTAGCAAAGGTTTTTTTGTCTAATAATTAATGTTGCCTTTAATATTGAACCAGCACCACTAATCTTTCTAAGCTTAAGCAAATTCATAACATCAAATAGGAAAAATCTGATACAATGAAGGTATATGTTGTATACGTATGAGTCTGAGTATGAACATGGGCAGCAGCTCCACATAAACACTTTATTTTTTTTGCATTAGCTTTCACTGACACTTGGAGACAGCATGACACAAAGTATTTTAGTGCTCCTTTTTCGCTCTTCTTACTTCCACTACAGCCCCGAAGATCAAACAGCATGGCTGTAGACACTCTGTATTGCTGTATGTGTGAATGTAGTCATCATCTGTGAACCTACATGTCAGGCATAAGATGTGGTGATAGGAGATTTGCAGCATAAAAGTGCTGAATCCTCTGAGGTCCACTTTAGTCTCTGGAAAGGATGATGCAGTTCATTATCATGTGTTACAGTTAAGTAATAGAAAAGTGATCCTCTGAAGTCTACATCTATTTGTGAGTCACACAGAAGGTGGCGCGCAAACTGAGCGTTCTCATGTAGGGAAGCGTTGGGTTTCCATCTTCCCACACGCAGCTTTACTTACAGATTCGACAGGGCACTCCTTTCGCTGGGAGTCCACAAAATGAGCTCATTGGAAGCGCAGCAGGTCACAGCCCTCACAAACACCCATTTTATTCGCAGACACGAAGTGTGTTTAATCTAAACTGGATGTACTGCTGGGCAGTGTTGTATGCTGTAAAGCAATTTGGTCCAACAAGCTGGCAAATAAGCTATAAAGGGACACAAATGCACACAAACACAGCATAAGAAAGCAATACACGGAAAAAATGACAGGAAAGAATGAAATAAAGAAAGGGAGAAAAAGGAGCATTATGGGTGGAGGGTGAGGGGTGAACAGAGACAGAGGGAAGATGTGACATGGACATGAGCAGGAGGACAGAGAGGCGGTGGAGGGTGAAGGAGCGCGAAGAAGGTTTATTAAAAACTGAAAACTGAAATGGAAAAAAGGGGGAGAGAGAGAGCTTTTAACCAGGGATTAATAAAACGAGAGATTATGGCTTAATTTGTTTACGCTACTATAAATAAACACAAATCTTTATCTTTGTTAATGCTTTAGTAAAAATATTTCAGGATGTTATTAATTGAATTTATTTAAGTTTTAAAAAGGGAAAAAATCAAATTCTTTTATTTAGATTTTTGATTTATGTATGGTTATTTGGCGATTCTCTAACGTGTAAAAAAAAAAGACATCAAACGGAAGAAAAACGCAGAACGTAAAACTGTCAGAAGAACAGGATAAATGTAGGAGGACATACAGCGAGAGCGAGAGAGAATGGAAAGACGGATGTATGGAGGCTGGGGGTTGGGTCTGGTGGCAGCTGGTTTGATTACCGGATTATGAGGAGCCTCACTCCCCACTGACCTCTAACACACACACAGACACACACACATATGCACGCATACACACACTCAAATCCAGAGGCCATCATAACAAATGAGCAGCCAGAGGGAAGAGTGGTTCTGTGAAGGGGACGGAGGAGCAAACCTAGCAAACAATCTGTAGGGGACATTTTAATAGAACATAAGGAGGAAATAATGCGCATAAAGAAACACATTTGGATCAAACTGATACGGTCATAGAGTACAGCACATACAGGATACATTAGGTGAAATAATTAAATGTCACTTCGTCTTCCTAGGCTAAAACCCAGCTTTATTATCGCCTCTCCGGATCACAATGCAAAGACACGGCACTAATTGACACTGATCTCCCATTGTCATTGAAATGAGACAGGGATCTATGAAAAGACCCAGGATAATCTGCTCGAGTAGTACCCTCTTTTACATAGACACATACACACACACTCACACACACCCTATTGCTGTTCAGCATGATGTATGTTGAGCATCTGACATCAGGAGACCCTTTTTAAATTAATCCAGGCTCTTATAAAGTCTGATTTTAAGCCATGTACCTTTGGGCAGGATTTGTGTCATTACAACTAGTTTAGAAGCCAATCCTGGTCCAACAGCCAACTTTGACATCTGTGACATGAAGTAATGAACTTTAAGCCTCTCTTGCTCAAACACGGAGAACGGGCTTTCAGTGATGTCTTGTATCCAGTAGATAAAAATGTGAGTGTTGCTGAGAGCGAGATGAGAAAAACAGATTCGACTGTCGTGTCTGGATTCTAATCTGGCCCGGAATTCTGTTCAAAGTTTAAACAATGTCCACTCCAGCTTTTCCAACCCTTACTAATTAGGTTAAAAAAACAACTGCAAAATCTGTAAACTACACCGTGAACCTAAGATTCCCATCAATCTAATTCTATGAGAAAAAGCAGCTATAAATTATCACCTTAAAACTCAAACTGCTCTTTCAGGAAGTGAGGACGTGGCAGATTTTTCTCTTTCCCAAAAACTTTTGTTAACAAGAAGCACTCCAAGAGCACAATCCTCAACCAAGGAGTGGAATAGCATTGTGGGGGTTTTTTTCGACATATTTTAAGAAGTTTGAAGTGAAAAAAACCCATTTGGAAATGCAGACTTTTATTTTTTCTGTTAAAGCCTATTGACAGAATTTTAAGTACAATTTTTTGAGTAGCATTCATTTCATTGTTTAGTATTATCTTTTTAAATGTTAAAATAGTAATAAACACCAAGTAACATTATGTTTAAAATCCCCATTTATCATTCCCTATATTCCTATATGTTGTCAGTACAAACGATGGCAGTGAGAAACATCAGATTAATCTACTGAACTTGAAGGAGTGGTCAGAGGTCAAATGTGACATCATATTTTAAATCCTTATATGGTACTTTGTATATGTAGACAATACACATCACACTTGTAAGAATAATAGTTTCTAGGTTAAATGGGTTTTGGTCCATTTTCGACCAATAAATCATCAATCACGTTGACCCTGAAGACTTTGGTGTAAACCAAATTTTAACGGATTGTTAAGATGACCCCACTCTACAACCTTATGAAGTTTAAACAGAATTCATTTAAAACTTCTCGAGATCACGCGTTCAAAGACATGAAATGATGACATGCACACGCAAATGCATATGCTATGAAAAACACAACTTCCTGGCACAGGTAATAAAAAGGCAGAGGCAAAAGTAAAACAAATGTACAAACATTCTCTACAAAACAGATGTCTAATTTGAACAAAAAAGGAGAATACATGTGACCGTTCATCTGATTATTTGACCTTTTTTCCACAGCTGCTTCATGCCCTTTTATTATTGATCATATTGATGGGGAACCTGTGAGATTGCACCACAAAGAGTTGACAGAACTCTCGATTGATTTGTTTTATTTGTTTTCATACTGCTATGTGTTTAATAGTCATATCGTGTTAGCCTTCTGCAAACTGTATTCTCAAATGTTTTCTGACAGGAAAAAACAAAAC